AGGCCACCTTTGCTATGTGCCATTTTTCTCAGCCATTTTTATATACATTATCTCAATGCTTCTAACAACTATCGAGGTTTAGAGGCAGCAGCAGCAGTATCAGTACTCCAGGAGGGAAAGGGGCTTGTCTAACATCACACCACAAAGCACCAAAGGTGTAGCTCAGTGCTAAAGTGTCTGTCTAAAGGCACACACGGACACAAATCATAGCATAAAGCTCAATTCCAAGCCAAACCAGCTCCAAAATAAGCTCCCAGTGGAACTGATAGTATACTATTTGTTTCATTTCCATTATAATACCCACCTAGGTACTTATTCTTTTTTTTTTGGTTTGTGCTGGTCCTGGGGCTTGAACTCAGGGCCTAGATAGATGCTGTCCCTGAGATTTGGTGCTCAAGGTTAGCAATCTTCCACTTGAGCCAGAACTCCACTTCTGGCTGGTGGTTAATTGGAGATGAGTCTCATAGACTTCTCTGACTGAGCTGGCTTTAAACCACAATCCTCAAGTCTCAAGTCTCCTGAGTAGCTAAGATTACAGATGTTGAGCTACTGGCACATGGCCACCTAGGTACTTTCTTTCCCAGTTCAAATAATGGAAGTGATTCCAGGCCAATTAAATTTAAGTGTTAAATTGAGACAGTTTCAACAAACAGAACACTTTGGGATCATTAGCCTTTTTAATGCTATCTGGCAGGCAGGGTGACAGCATCACTAACTGTATGGTCCTCGTAAGGACCATAAATGAGGATTACCTCAAGTATTCTGTAGGTGGCTGAGGATCCAGGAAAGTCATCAGTACAAACCATCAGATGACTGAGTTTCTGAGTTACATCCTCTTCCACAGGAGGCTTCTGTATTTTATGTCCAAGGCTGGTAGAACACTTGTGTTGTTCTTTTATTGTTAAATCAGACCCGCTGTCACTGCTTCTACACTCAGGAACTTCATTCCTTTTGTTCTCCAAGTGCAAATCCTTCAGGTAATTTTCATTTTGTGTAGGCGCCAATTCAGGGAATTCGGTAAATAGCCAGTGTCTATCTTTGAAAAATCCATTTTCATGAATTTTGTAGAAGTCATTCCAGTACTTATGAGCATTGACCTCATAATCAACTGAAAATATTTCAGAAAGAATTTTAAGAATCAGTTTCAAAACATTTTTATTTATATCAAATGTCAGTTATTTTGCTTCACCAGTGTAACTTTGTACTAAAAGTATATTCAAATAGAGCTGCAGTCTCAGAGCTGAAGGCAGTTCTGAAGTAATTTTATTTATGCTGGTTACTATTATACGTTAAATGTTCTCTATTTCTGATTTTCAGAGCTTAATGTTTTAAAATACAATTTCACTGTTATCATTTCATAAGTCAGGTAATGAGAACATTTCATTTTTTGGGACAATGTCATGCCTTTTGTCACCTTCCCATTTTCTCCTTCTCTTCCCTGCCCACAGGTTATTTTCCACACAGTATATATTGAGTAGCATGATTGCATTTGTTTGCTTTTCCTCCATTCCTTTTTGCCCCTCCTTCCCTTTTCCCCCCTAAAACAACCACCACCACCACCACCACCATAAAACAAAAAAATCCACAATTACATTTCCTGGAATTAATTTTGATAAATAGCATTTGTCTCTCTGAGCTTGGCTAACCTCATTTAGCATCATTTGTTCTAGGCCATCCTGCAAATGACAAAGCAAATTCTTCCTAATAGATGAATAAAATTCCATTGTGCATATGTACCATATTTTACTGATCCGCTCATCTGCCAAAGAGCATCTGGCTGTTTTTATAACGAGGCTATTGTGAATAGGGAAGCTTAGTTTTTGCTTGAACTATTAGACAGTGAACTTATTACCTATCATTATCTTTTCACACCTTTAGACTATTGGAAAATTGTACAAGTAACAATCCCTGCCCATTTCCATATAAAATTAGGCAAAGAAAAATGTCTACTGCTTCTTTGGGCCATGCATAATACTTTTGTATTTGTAGACAGCTAATTTTCCCCCCTAAAGCATCATCAGCATTCTCTTTTATTCCTCCTCTTCCTTTAAACATTTTTTTTTGGGTCTGGTCATGGGGCCTGAACTCTGGGCCTGGGTGCTGTCCCTCAGCTCTTCAGCTCAAGGCTAGCACTCTACCACTTGAGCCACAGCACCACTTCTGGCTTTTTTCTTTTTGCTTATGTGGTGCTGAGGAATCGAACCCAGGGCCTCTAGCATGCAAGGCAAGTGCTCTACCACTGAGCCACCTTCCCAGCTCTAAACATTTTTAAAAAAAATATAAACTAAATGCCCCTAGGTTGTTCATGTAAAGTCCATGGATACCATTTAAGCAGCTATTCAACTATGTTCCTATCTGTGGTTACTTTAGAGTGTGGAGTCCAGCCATGAACTCAATATTACTAACAAATACTAAAAACGGAAACAAGGCTAAAAGAAAAATAGACAATAAAAAATTGTCTTCAAGTGAGAAGGGTTTTGATGAATCAGAGAGGAGGAACACATAGATTGTTTTTTCTTGTGTGTGTGTGTGTGTGTGTGCCAGTTCAGGGGCTTGAACTTAGGAAGTAGGCACTGTCCCTGAGCTTTTTGCTCAAGGCTAGCTCTCTACCACTTGAGCTTCTGCTACACTTCTGGCTTTTTTTGGGTGGTTAATTGGAATTTTAAGAGTCTCAGGAACTTTCCTACCTATGCAAGCTTCAAACAACCATCCGCTCTCAGTTTCCTGAGTAGCTAGGATTACAGGCATGAGCCACCAACACATGGAATTTTTTTCTGGAGGGGTAGGAGGGTGGGGGTAGGTCATGGGGCTTGAACTCAGGGCCTGGGCACTGTCCTTGAGCACTTTTGCTCAAGGCTAACACTCTACCACTTTGAGTAACAGCAACACTTCTGGTTTTCTGGTGGTTAATTGGAGATAAGAGTCTCTCTTTACTGCCCTGGCTGGATTCAAACCACTATCCTCAGATCTGTGTCCTAAGTAGCTAGGATTACAGGCCTGAGCTATCAGTGCCTGGCAGGATTTTTTTTTTTTAAAGAAAAGTGTTAAGGTGATTAGAACAATTTCAGATTTCAATGTATTGCTCTTTGCCAATACTAGTGCTACAGATGAAAAATAATAAAATATTTTTACTTTCACCATTGCTATTACTAACTGAATGCTTACCTTTTTGCAACATTCTTTCCCTTGTTCCTCCCTCATTCCTGGGGTCCCAGCACACAAGCTAGGTAAGCACTCTACTGCTTGAGACATATCTTCAATCCTTTTTTCTTCTTGAGATACCCTTCTTTATGTTTCCCAGGTCAGCCTGGAGACTCCTGAGACCAACTGATTTTCCCAAGTGGCTGGGCCTACACATGTAAACCACTGTCCCTGGCTGAAGTTTAACCATAAAAAAGAGGAAACTCGGGCTGGGAAGGTGGCTCAGTGGTAGAGCGCTTGCCTTGCAAGCCTGAGGCCCTGGGTTTGATTCCTCAGCACCACATAAGCAAAACAAGAAAGCCAGAAGTGGCACTGTAGCTCAAGTGGTAGAGTGCTAGCCTTGAGCTGAAGAGCTGAAGGACAGCACCTAGGCCCAGAGTTCAGGCCCCACAACTGGACCCCCCACCCCCCCCCAAAAAAGAGGAAACTGTGATACATGCTACTCATAAGTTCCTTTCACTTTATTTCGCCTGTCAAACTATAAACGGTGGATGTTTTTTAACTGTAATCTTATTGTATAAGACTCTCTTTCAATAGGCATTACTCTCAAATTCCTACTCTCAATTGTCAATTGGGACACAGAACAAACTAGTGTAGTCATAGTCTGGGATGTTCTACATTGAATAAACCTTCCACTTCAAGAGAGGCCTCTTTTTTCTTTGGTCAGGCCTATCACCATTCGGCTTCCAACATCTTTCCTGGGCAGAAGCCCTGAATACTGACCCCCATCAACCCAGAAGGTGCATAATCCCCGTTATTAGCCTCCTCTCTCAACAGAACTTAGAATCGGATCAATTAGGGAATCTACCCTTCACTGACAACTCTCAAAGTATATAAATCGTGGAGAAAGCACACCGTCTGAGATGACTATGAGACTGTAGGGTTGACATTTCCCAGTCGCATCGAACGATGAGTAACACAAGTCACCAGAAGAAAAAACAACGGTTAGTTAACCCTCCCTTAAATAAGAACCTGGAAAACCTTAAACTTCCCAACCCTGTGAGCCTCGCTGCGTGTTCCACGGCCTCCCTCATCTCCCCCTCCGTTCTATCCCGAGTTCTGCAGCCGGCCAGTAACAAAGGATCCCGGCGGCCGGTCGGCGGCCGCGTCCGGCAGTGCGTAGCGGCCGGTGCCCCGAGGGTCCGTCTGAGCCCACCTTGTCTCTCCGGGCACACGCGCTGGGTGCTGTTCTCCTGCACTTTCTTCTCCGCCGCCGCGGCCTGCTCTTCCGACCACTCCACGTTGTCCCTGAGAAAACCGAACGGCCGGCTTAGAGGCCTCGCGTTCCGAGTCGCCGGCCCGGGAGCGCCCGGTGTTTCTGAGGGGCCGGAGGCTTCCCGACTCGCTCGGGAGCCGCGAGACAAGCGGCCCGGCACTTACCAAGCATTGTGGCGGAACACATTCGCCGGGTCGCTCAGGAACCGGCTTCCGAACGCTTGCCTCTTCCCGTCTACGGGAGCCGCCATGATACCGGACCCGGAAGCGCCTTCCTGGCCGCCGCGCTTGAGCTTCCGGAAGTCCCGAGGTCAGCGCTGGGGGCGGCCGGGGCGGCGCCGAAGGCCCTGTGCTGGGGCGTGCTCTCAACTTGGGGTGGAGGGCTCCAGGGAAGAGGGCCGACTTGGTGATGTTATCCTGGGGAGGCCCTGGGGGACATGTCGCCTGGGAAGACGCTGGGCGACATTCCACTTGAGCCCCTCCCCCCCATTCAGTGTTGGGAGTCCTGACTAGGTTCACCAGTTTCCCTGGAGAGGGAGGGAGAGGGGAGGGAGGGAGGGGGAGAGAGAGGGAGAGAGAGGAGAGAGAGGGAGAGAGAGAGAGAGGGAGGGAGAGAGGGAGGGAGGGAGGGGGTGAGAGAGGGAGAGAGAGAGGGAGGGAGAGCAGAGGGAGAGAGAGAGAGAGAGGGAGGGAGAGAGGGAGGGAGGGAGAGGGGGCAAATCAGGATTTGAACTGAAGGGCTCGCACTTGCTAGGCTGCTGGCTCAGTGGCCCTCTATCACTTGAGTCATGCCCCCATTCCTCCTTCATGTCCCTACCCTCTCCACACTGACACTTGAACTGGGCCTGACGCTTTTGCTCTTTGGCTGGCGCTCTACCACCTGAGCCTAGCCTCCCACCCATCATCCCTCATTTTTTTTGGCGGTCATGGGGCTTGAACTCTAGGCCTGAGCACCGCCCCTGAGCTCTTCAACTCAAGGCTACAACTCTACCACTTGAGCCACAGCGCCACTTCTGGCTTTTTCTGCTTATATGGTGCTGAGGAATAGAGCCCACTGCCTCAAGCATGCAAGGCAAGCACTCTACCACTGAGCCACCTTCCCAGCCCCTTCCCTCATGTTTTAAGAGAGGAAAATTCTTAGGTCATGTTTAAAGATGTGAAGGTATCTGCATCCATTGTGAACTTGATAGCCAGAACTGAGGAAGGTAAGCAAATGGGAGAAAACAGCAATCACTGGACTTCTGTATATATACACACACACACCCACACACACCCACATATTCTTGGTGGGGGGAGTATTTTGGGTGTGGATATGAAAGCACATGAGGTTCACCCCACAAATGGACAAGTTATAAAAACTGTAACTACCTGCAACTAAGCTGGGCTTAATTATTACAATACAGAGCAATACATACATACACATATTTTGCAACGTTAATGCACTTCAGCTTACATTCTATTCCCATAATCACTACAATCTAGTTCTCAAAGGAAACTAGACGGAAGGATGTGATCAGTAAAATGGGGGTGACTTCCAAGTGATGAAGACAAAGTTATTAATTAGTACACTGGTGTTCCATTGTACGGAGTTTCTGCAGATAAAACTGAGGGAACAATGAGAGACTCAGGACTCACTGAAAAAGTGGGATCAGGCCATTTAAGCTATCCTAGTCATGAAAAAAATATGACAAGAATATATGGTTTTTTTTTTGTTGTTGTTGTTGTTTTCTTGCTGGTCCTGGAGTTTGAACTCAGGGCCTGGGTACTGTCTCTAAGTTTCTCTGTGCTCAAGGCTATTGCTCTACCACTTGAGCCACAGTGTTACTTCCGGCTTTTTCTGTTTATGTGGTACTCAGGAATTGAACCCAGGGCTTCATGCATGCGATGCAAGCACTCCATCTCTAAGCCCAAGAACATGTGCTTATTTGAAGACAAATACTTTTGTCATCCTAGTGGTTGTTTGAAACATTTTGAACGAACCTTTGAAAGAACCTTTCAAAAAAAAGGAAAGGGATTTTTCTGTCCTCATTAAGAATGCCCAATAGTTTGGAATATTAAAACATTTTTCTCTTTTTTTCCCCTTCTCCCTTCCCTTTTTTAAAGACAGGTCTCCCTGCTTCAGTGGCCCAAATATTGGAATTACATGGGTATGCTAGTATATTGTCACAGTGTGACCCTCCTTTGTGAAGTGTTTTTAAGTGTCCTGAACTTAACTTTACACAATTATCTTTGGTTTTCTTGTACAACTCATTTTTCTCCTGTTAAATCATCTAAAATTTTTCAGATGAAGTTTGGAAGATCAAGCCACAAGTTGTCAGCAGCATTAGACTAAGGTGACCATAGTGTTTCAGAGATGTGAATGGTCCCTCTTGTGGTAAGTAATGAGAACTCTTCTAGCTTAGTGGATGGTGTGGATTCAAAACTTGTAAAGGTTAAAAACTTATTCTGATTATTCCCTGGAGTGTTAGTTCAGGACAAGGATGGCTAATTATGTCATGCTTTTTCTTTCAGATCCAATCAGTGGGATGTTTAAACATGAACTTTGCAACAGAAGACTGGGGAAGAAGTATCCTGGTGACTTTGTTCAATTTAAGATAAAGTCCGAGACAATTATATAAACTAGCTTACACATGGACTGGAAGGTGGCTCAGTGGTAAAGTGCTTGCCTTGCATGCATGAGGCCCTGGGTTTGATTCCTCAGCACCACATAAGCAGAAAAAGCTGGAAGTGATGCTGTGGCTCAAGTGGTAAAGTGCCAGCCTTGAGCTAAAGAGCTGAGGGACAGCACCCAGGCCCAGAGTTAAAAAAAAATATAGTTTACACATTTTTTTTCTTTTTTCCCTTCTTTTTTCTTTATGTTATTTTTTAGATAGTGTCTTGTTTTTGTTCAGGCTGGCAGATGACCATGATCTCTTGGTCTCTTACATAACTAGATTGACATATGCATGTTGCCATGTCCAGTTTGTTGATTGAAATGAGTTCTCAATAACTTTTTGTTCAGTTTGGCTTTTAATTGTGATTCTTCTGATCTCTGTCTCCTGAGAAGCTAGGGGGTACAGACATGAACTCCTGTGCCTGGATTATTTTTATTTTTTTGAGGCAAGGTCTCAACTCTGTAGCATAGGCTGACCCAGAATTTGAGAATCTCTTGCCTTTACCTCCTGAGGGCTGAGATTATATCATCAAACCTTATTTTCTTATTAACAAATATATGTTCATCATAAAGTATTTAGGAGACACAAAACAAGAAAACATTGTGTCTTACACTTTAACACATTAATACCTTTTTATATCCTTTTAATCACTCTTAATGTATGAAAGTAACAATTTTAAGTTAAAATAGTCTTAGAACAAACTGTATTGTGCATTGCTTTATTAATTAATTTAGTGGAATTTGGGATTGACTCCAAGGCTTTGTGTACACGAGGCAAGTATTTCCATTTGAGCCACACCACTAGTTTGTTTTGCTTTTTTTTTAAATTGGTCATGGGGCTTGAACTCTGGGCCAGAGTGCTGTCCCTCAGCTTTACAGCTCAAGGCTAATGCTCTACCACTTAAGCTACAGGGCCACTCCTGGTTTTCTGATGGTATATTGGAGATAAGAGTTTCACGGAGTTTCCTGCCCAGGCTGGCTTTGGACCATGATCCTCAGATCTCAGCCTCCTGAGTAGCTAGGATTACAGGTGTGAGCTACCTGTGCCCGGCTTGTTTTACCTTTTTAAGCTTACTTTCAGATAGAGTCTCCAGATAGTCTTCAGTGAGACCCAGTCTCTTGGTGCTGGTGACTCACACCTATAAACCTAGCTACTTAGGAGGCTGAGATCAGAGTTTTATAGTTCCAAACCTGCCCAGGCAGGAAAGTCTGTGAGACTCTTATCTCCAAGTAACCACCAAAAAACTGGAAAAGTGAAACTGTGGCTCAAAGTGGTAGAGCAATAGCCTTGAGCACAAAAGCTCAGGGCTAGTGACAAGGCCCTCAGTTAAGGCCCTACAACTCACACACACACACACACACACACACACACACACACACACACACTAGTGATAAACACCCTGGCAACTAGGTAATTTTATATATCCATGTTGTTGTTTTTAGGAATAATTTCTAGAAATGGAATTAGTGAGTCAATACTTCTAATTAACCATTACTAACCCAGAGGCATTTTAGCTGTTCATTGTTACATAGCTATACCCTAGAACAGGGCCCGGTTTCAAGTGTCCTGAGGGGCTGTGATAACCCCTAAAATTGAAAGGTTATTGTCATCCTTAGCCTCTGGTCTCTTTCATGAACACTGAAAAAGCCTAATTCCATTTATGCTCACCGAAAGCTCAGAAACTTAATGCATAAGGGTCTTAGGAAATTCTGCTGAGGCAGTTTTAATCCAGGTAGGGGCAGCAGAGAGCAACTGGCATTTTTAGCAAGGATGTTATCTATCTACTTGGCTAATACAAATTTAGGACAGCATAATCATTTTATGACGTAAAGTTTTTTTACTGGTCAGAATTCAAAAGATGTCAAAATTCCATCTGCTAAGAATGTGCTAGACAAAAGCAAGAAATCAGAATTTTGATAACTTATGAAAAAGTAGTTTTTGATGAGCTGTTTAGAAAAATGTAGAATTTTCATTGTCGAAACCCTTTGAAACCTTTCCTTTTTCTTTTTCTTCCAGTCTCTATGTCACCTTCGCTGATATCTGATGAGGAAGAGAATGTGGAGCTGTTGGAGGAGAGATTTTTGTTTATGTAGGCATCATGTAACCGTAAATCCTTAGCAGAAAGTAGTTCTTGGCAGACATTCCAGGACCAAGTGTAAGTAGAAAAGGTGTTATAAAAGGTCTCATTTCCACTTTCTAATCCAACCAGATCCCCTCGGATCTTCCGCCAGAGATTTAGCATTTCTTTCCGGTGTTCAAGAGCAATTCCTAAATGATAGGTGTCTGTAGCTGTCTTCACCTGCAACAAGAGCATACATTTACTGTAGTTATCTTCAAATACATTTGATTTGTGCTAGCTTTGAGCAAAGCAGCTAAAGGAAAGTGTCCAGGCTCTGAGTTCAAGCCCAGATTCAGTACACACACACACACACACACACACACACACACACACACACACACACACGAAGAAGGGTGGAACAGTGTTGGGATAATTGGTACCCATTTCAGTTTGGGCAGGGAGAACCAGTGGAAGAATATGCTGAGTAAGTCCTTAAGGATTTGATAAACCTGAGGGAATGCTGATTGGAAGGTGTTCCAGGGAGAGGAGGCTGCATAAACAATGGTTGACAGTAAACATGCTAGATTTGGTGGGGAGGGTTCAGATAGTTTTCTAGTGTCCTGTTTTTTTGTTTTTGTTTTTTGGTTGGTCATGGGGTTTGAACTCTGGGCCTGGGCACTGTCTCTGAGCTCTTCAGCTCAAGGAAGGACTCTATCACTTGAGCCACAGTGCCACTTCTGTTTTTTTTCTGGTGACTAATTGGAGATAAGAGTCTCATGGAGTTTCCTGCCCAGGCTGTCTCTGAACCACAATCTTCATATCTCAGCCTCCTGAGATCCTAGGATCCTGAAATCCTAGGATTGCAGGCGTGAGCCTGGGAAGGAAGGAGTAATGATGGAGAAGAAGCAGGACCTTAGACATGTTATTGATATCAGTGTAGATGGGGAGATCTCTTTCCTTGTTTCTGAAATTTATCTTCTAGTGAGCTACTGTTCCTGATGCAAGAGAGACAAATCCCTCAGTTATGTGGATAACTGAAAAACTTTGCCACTACTGACAGGGAAGCATTTATTCTTTCTTTTTTTCCTTTCTTTCTTTCTTTCTTTTTTGCCAGTCTTAGAGCTTGAGCTCAAGGGCTGGGCACTGTCCCTTAGCTTCTTTTGCTCAAGGCGAGCACTCTACCACTTGAAACACAGTGCCACTTCCGGCTTTTTCTGTTTATGGGGAACTGAGAACTCAAACACAGGGCTTCATACTTGCAGGTAAGCATTCTACCACTAAGCCACATTCCTAGCCCTGAAACATTTATTCTTAACCAGGACAATGTTCTGATCTTCAGGTTAGATCATGAGCAGTATGGAGAATGGTCATGGGAGAGCAGCTACAGAGAAGATAACCACAAGGATGGAAGCTGTTATCTAGACAAGAGCCATGGAGAGCCTCTGCTAAGGCAAAGGTACTAAGGGTAGAGTGAAGGGAACAGTCTCTAGACAGAAGCTGGATTGTGGTGGGTATGAGGAATGAGGAACAATGCCTATGTTCAGAATGCCTCCTGGCCTTTTAGCTACAGTGACTAAGTCTATGGTGGTCCCAACAACTACCACACAGAGTCCATAGGGGAGAGCCAGACTGATGCAGAAGATGGTGATTGGTATTGGACACGATAAGTCTGAGTGGGAAGTATTTATAAGTTGGTCAGTGAGATAAAGCACAGGAAAAGAAGTATAGGCTAGGAACAAATTCAGTGGTTATCATTATATAGATGGCAAACTGGGAAACAGGAAGATATATTGAAATAGCCCAAACACTTTCCCTAGCTGTTTCTTCACCTGACACTGAGATCCAGTGTTCTGCTATGTCTGGGTACCTGGGGACTGAGCCTCTGGCTCTACTCAGCCTCCATTTATTCTACTGCATGATACGGCATGATGAGCTCAAACCTTTGTGAGCAGTTTTGAAGTGCTAAAGTCCTATTTATCCCAATGTGCTACTCCTCCTTGTCCATTTCCTCCTTGGTGACTTCCTTGTGCATTCCAAACTTGCTAAAGTTAGGAGCTGTGTTTTCCTCTCATGCTATCTCATCTCAGAACTCTTGGCTAACCATTTACTGAACAAATGAATGGATAAAATACATATGCAGTAAGATGAGTAGCACAAGACTAGAAAGCTGGGCATGTCAGTACTAGAGGAATTCAAGAAAGAGAAGAGAGAGAAGAGCACACATGGCCACAAGGACTGAAGATTCAGTGTGTAAAAGGCAAGCAAGTAGAGAGTTTGCTCATTAGTAACAAATGCCAAAGGGAGGCAGCATAATGTAACACCTGGTCTTTCTCTGAAAAGGTAGCAATGTTGCTAAGACAGGGCACACAGTAGACCGGCAGCACAGAGTTGTGCTTACAGGTGTGTGTTTTAGAGCCATTCTGCTCATAATCCTTGATAGGTACTTCCTGGCTGGGTGCCTTTGAGCAAATCATTTAATCATTCTCTGCATACTTGTGAACTGTGAAGGAATTTTTTTTTTTTTTTTTGGTCGGTTGTGGGGCTTGAACTCTGGGCCTGGGCGCTATCCCTTAGCTCTTCAGCACTTGAGCTACAGCGCCACTTCCTGTTTTCTAGTGGTTTATTGGAGATAGGAGTCTCACGGTCTTTCCTGCCTGGGCTGGCTTTGAACCATAATCCTCAGGTCTCAGCCCCCTGAGTAGCTAGGATTATAGGCGGGAGCCACCAGTGCCCGGCTCTGTGAAGGAATTTTTTTTTTTTAGTTTTTTAATATTTTTTTGGGTCCGGTCGTGGGGGCCTGAACTCTTGAGCTTTTCAGCTCAAGGCTAGTGCTCTACCACTTGAGCCACAGCCCCACTTCCGGCTTTTTTCTTTTTGCTTATGTGGTACTGAGGAATTGAACCCAGGGCCTCATGCATGCAAGGCAAGCGCTCTACCACTGAGCCACCTTCTTAGCCCTGTGAAGGAATTTTTATAGTGCCTGTTTCTGGGAGTTTGTGATAATGAAATGAGTCTTTACCTGTAGAATACCCATGGAATACCTGTAGAGCTCAGTGCTGGACAGGAAGTGCCTGTCAGCTACTAATATTCTTGCTCTTGCACCAATAATGCTGCTTTCATTCATACATTATGGTTTACCAAGTATACCACTCAGTCTCTGTGGTTTACTACCTTAATTAGTTTGTTATTTCCAGCATACAACAAATGAATGTCCCAATAATAATGCTGACTGCAGCTTCATAAATGATTAACAGGGTGAATCATAACCCTTGACATTTTAATCTATTTGTTTATGCAAAGAAATGTTATTACAATGGATAAAAATGAGAACCTATCTTGTCTCATTTTGAAGACAAGGTACCAATAAAGATTCTGTAGGTTTATAAGGTGGTGTTGAAGTGGAAGGCCCTTTGCCAGTGCTTTCTGGGAAGGCTTTCTACAATGAGTACTCACCTGCGGCTTAATAGCAACGGCATCAGACACTGTCCAACTATGCTTTTTCTTGAATAATTGGTCGATGGCAAGGATTTCATCTGGATAGCGTGAGGCAGAGCTCACTGGCTTTATATGTGCTGCCTGTAATGCACATTTTAAAAGAAGGTATGGGATACATGAATTACACAGCAAAAACAGTGAGCCGGGCGCCGGTGGCTCATGCCTGTATTCCTAGCTACTCAGGAGGCTGAGAGCTGAGGATCAAGGTTTAAAGCCAGCTTGGGCAAGATAGTCTTATTTCCAATTAACC